TCATTTTAGCTACGGAAGGTATAAAAAAAACATCAGGTCAAAAAACCTTCATTTATTCAAGCAAAATTACTAACACGATTTTCTTCACAAATTTTGGTTTTATTTATCATAGCGACAATGAAAATTACTGAAATCCAACTAAAAAAAATACAGGAAATAGTAATTTTTATACTCTATTTTTTACTTAATTTTTTTTTTGTTGTAGTTTAATATAATAAAACTTTTATTTAAATATTTATGAGTGGATTTAAATGATATTTAGTAGAATATGTGTTTCACTCAAAAGTCTGCTGCATATATTGGTATGCAATATTCCCATGGAAATTTCCATTGGATTCAAAACAAAATATACTTAACGCAATATAGTAATATCGATTGAAGTCGTATTTCATTGTTAATATTATTGATTTTTTTACAAATATTTTTTAAATATTTATTGTCCGTGTTATATAAAAATATGAGTTTCCAAATATAATATTAGGAAGATTTGTGTATTTTATGGAAGTAACATAAGTAACAGTGTGAAAATACGTAGAAGTCACTTTATATGTATTTTGCTTATCATGCCATTGAGAAATTAAAGGAATTTTATTTTTTTTACTAATTATCCGAAAGAAAATATCGTTGGATTAATTCATATATTAAAAAAGAATTATATGATACCCTCATAATAATAAAAAAACAGCTGTTATGTTTTAATGTTTGATCTCCATACTGAAATTTGCTATTTGTATCATGGACAATGGATGCAACATGTAAAAGGAAGAAAAAGATATATCTTAAATATGGAATATAAAGGAAGTATAATGGATACATTAAATAAAAAAGTGAATTATGATAAATAGTTCTGGAAAAGAAATGGTGTTTAACTTAATCGCATAATGATTTCAGCGAGCGAGCTTTCCTGATGTTTTCTGGCAAAGAGTTGCACAGTCGGACAGCGTTCACAGAGAAGGAATAAGAGAAGAAGTCAGTTGTGTGGTGAGAAAACTTGAGGGTAAGATTGGAAGAGGATCGCAATGAAAAATGGGATGAAGAGTGGTGAAAAGAGAAGCATTGCTTGAGATAGGGTGGGGTAAATGGCAGGAAAAGTTTAGAAAGTAAGAACTTAATTACTTAACTTAAAGTAATAGTCGTATTTGCGAGAATTCCAGTAAACATCAAATTAACGATGCAGTTCATTTAATATCTTTCAAAAAAAGGTCGCGGTAGCAATCGCTGTCACATGTGAAATAGTTGTAGCGTGAACTTCGTGAATATCTCTCAAATGCCAAATTGAAAGTGATTGCAATAATATATTGTAAAATTAGACAATTAGACCCCCAATTCATGCCATTATCCGACTAAAATAAATCAACACCTCTCAATTTGACGGTTTTTTCTTCTATCATTGTCAATTAACTTTAGGTGGACGATGATTGAACCAATACTAAGTTAAGTCTTCGTTTAATAATAAAACTGTTATCGAACACAACAGCGAATGACATATCTTTAATTTCTCAAAAAGTCGTTTGGTATGCGCTCATTTCGCATACAATTTTGAAAGTCAGAACAAACTTTAGGCATGGTATTTTAGTAGTTCAGAGAAATTTCACAAAGAGAATCATCTTTATTAAGGATGCGATTTACTTATTTATGTAAATAGCGTTCGCCCACTGCCAAAGCACGAGATACTGTTTCATTACTCCTGTGGTACTGGAAGAAAGTAATAAATTACATATAAATTAAAACCTATGGGGAATTATACATTTTTTCTGAAGTCCCCGGTTTGATTTCCGGTCGGGTCAATGTACACAATTATCTTTTCTTCATGGGTTTGGGTATTGTGGTATCTTCGTTGTTTCAGATAGAGAGAGCTTAGGCAATCATCTTGAAATCTGAGTAAATTATGTTTTTCAATTTATTCCAATCCTTTATTTACCTTTGTTACATTTCGCAATTTGGGCAATGCGATATAATGTTGTCTAGTATTTCTATTTAATAAAGTACGTAAAAAACCGACACTAATTAAATGCAGATCTAAACAAATTATTTTATTATTTTCAATGACATTAAAAAGCCCATTTTATGTGTTGCTTTAGTTTTTATTAATACTAAAGCCCGTTAACATAATATCTACTCTACAAAGTAACAATTTAACAGTGTTGCCACAAGCGTTCTTGCAATCGCACTTCACAAATACATTAAGTAATGTGTTTGGGACAAATTCTAATTTGTTATTCAAATGTGACCAATCTCAGGGATTACTCGGTTGTAACAAATTAACGCATAAATAATTGTCATTCGACACTTTGCATTCAATATGTAGAGAAAGCCAATTTGATCGTTACGCCACTCTAATATGATGTAGAACTTCAGTAGGCGTCAGATGATTATCTAGTTTGCGATGATGATACGAATAAAATCTAAAAGTTTTTGTTTCTCAAATAATTGCCTATTTATACTGAATGTGTCTAGGTATAACGGGCTGCGGAGAATGGTCTAAAATGGATAATTATTGCAATACTATTTACCTACGAGGCGTTTGTGTTTTGAAAGCACTGATTTTAATATAATAACACTTGAAGCCACGCTCTGTAATCATTTATTTAGCGAGTCATTCTGTCTAATTATGCCTATTTCCTTTTGGCTTTAACCCAACAATTAATTTTGAAACAAAGGAAGAGACTATAAGGAGAAACTGCTTTGAATTTTGACTTTGTAATTACGAAATGAACAATGAAAATTTTATGCGGAAAATAATATTTTACTTTACAATGAAATTCGTATCGAAAAAATGGGCTTTAGCTTACCGGTGTGATATGTGAATAAGTATTTATGTAACTTATCGATTTGCTCTCGAATGTTTGTGTTTTTATATTATGACAGTAATATGTCAGCTTATTACCATTCGTATTAATTCATTACTCTGGTTAGAAGCTTAATGGAACTCAAAGAATTTGTCTTTGTGGAACACGTAACAGTATAAAAGCATCTTAGTGAATTACCTACTTAGTTTCTGCGATGTAATGTAATCCATTATGACAATAATGAAATAACATATGATTTTGATCTCTACAGCAAACTATAATAAAATTTTGCATTAAAAATCTTGAGTACTACTCCTCCTGTGACTCCACCCCAGGCACAGTCAAATCAAGCATCACAGTCCTCCAGTATGAGTCTGTAATTCAATCTGCAAGTCAATTCCATTAATGTTTAAATTATAATAGCATCTCAATAGAATTAGTTAATAGAAATCAACGATTTGCATTTTACCATTGTACTAGTTAACTAATGTCCAATATTATAGTGCAATGTCTTTCTCACACATCAATGGTGAGAGAAAAAAATAATAATATTGAACTTCAGGTAGATAGTACAATGGAAAATGCAAGTATTCTTTATGAAAAATACTTTTTCAATGCAGTTGCTCATAAAGCGCTATTTTTTTAATCCATATTAAACACCGAAAGTGAGTCTTTAAACACGTGTGAAATAAAAATGTACTGAAATCCTTTACTGCACACGTGCTTAAAAGTATTTTTTTTAATTTTTTTTGGTCGAGCAGCAAAGAAATAAAAAAAAAAATGATGAAAATATGTCAAACTGTAGATGCAAAAGTATTTCATGGAGCCTAGAACGAATATTGTCAAACTGTAGATGCAAAAGTATTTCATGGAGCCTAGAACGAATATTTTCAAATAAAAATGTATGGCACGAAAACAGGCTGTATGTGTCGTTGCATCTTTGCCTCAACAAAAAAAAAAGAAAGCGCGCCAATACATACTTAGTTTTATTAACCTATATATTTGTTTAATTTCCACGCAAAAAGTATTGAAAAATGTTGTAAATAACTTGAGCGTAAAAGGTTTTTCGAATTCGTGCCAATGAAAACCCTCGCTACGCTCGTGTTTTCAATTTGACCCTTATTCGTAAAACCTTACATTCCGCACTCGTATCTTAAATAACTATTAAAATTCACCAGCCCTAGGTACTCTGAAATGGTATTCGAACCCACAACTTTTCGCAATCCGAGCTGCCCTTGAACCGCCCGGAACCAAATAGGACGAACGAATTTTTCAAGCACTTATTACTTTTTGCTACTAGTGAGCGTATTTTCACCAATATTCAAGCAATCCACCCAAACAGCCGAAGAAATATTTTTACAAATATTTTCCAGTATAGCATTGTGAATGCAAAATTTTCCAAATATGAAATGCTATTATTAGGTAAACATTAGAGGTATTGACCTGCAGCATTGAAGTAGACGTTGAACTTAATTTATAGACTTTTGAAGTAAATTTATTCGTTTGTGAGGTAGGTTCCAGCAGGCTCCTTGCTGGATCCCAGATCTTTTCCCCCGACCGAAGGTATTCCGCAGCAGGTTTTACCAGACAGGTCAACCACGATTAAATCTGACATTTTTACAGGGTGGTTGGAGAGAGAGAGAGAGAGAGAGAGAGAGAGAGAGAGAGAGAGAGAGAGAGAGAGAATTCGTGAATATATCAAATACACAATAAATCATATATTAAGTTTATTCAACTAGTCAGCAAAACATCAGACTTCTGAGATTTACTGCTGATAAATTTACTTAATTGAATAACATTATTAATTATAATAACGTAAAAAGTATATTAAATCAATTAGACATACAATATGAAAATGCGGTAACCATCGAAAATAGAATGTACGTCATTGGCGTTAGATAAAAATTTGCGCGATCAAATAGTTTCTCTTCTCGACAGTCTCGATTAATTGTCATTATGAATATTTTAAAATTAGATTTCTATTAATTTGATACAGTCAAACTGTTTCATGTTATAAGTTGACATTTACCAATATTGTATGCTTTTTAGGTAGATCTCAGTATCCTACTTATCGGTTTTATAACTAACATCTTTCAATAATCCCGTGATCATTAATAGAGATTGACGATTGATAAAGATTGAAGATCTGATTTGATTAATTAATTGCTGTAAAAATAAGTTATAAATTAATATTATAAAATAAACTTCTTGTTAATAAGTAGAATAACCATGGCGGTGTTTGTTCAAAACATGTTCCACTTTGTATCCGCTATGCTTATATTGAGCTCGAGGATGTTGTTCAGAACCATTATCATGTTTATTATGTTTACGGTCTTGGATTGAAAGGCGATGTTGTTGATGTTCAGGATAATAAAGATCGTCGTCTTCATGATGACGGCACGAGTCATCGTACCACTTGTTAATGTCCGGTATTAGGTATTGGGAGCATGGATTTGGCTCATTGCTAGAAAAAAAAGTCACAAGGTCAAAAAAAGTCAAGTGGGAAAACGACATTGTTTTTTCGTAAATTGAACTTTGAGGCTCTTATCTCATAAGACCATCAGAGTTTGATTTACGAATTTATTGGTTCATAAAATAATGACTAACTAATGAAAGCGAGCAACAGAAATCCAAAGCGAGCTACAAAACCACTTTGGAATTATTCGAACGGTGTAATATGATTCCATATTAGAACTTTATTCATACATAATGAAAAATAAAGATCAAGAAATTGCTCGCATATGCAATTAGCATAAATCCAATTACAAATTGTTTTAAATTTGATGAGCTTGTAATTTGAATTCTTTTGATAGAAGCATGGTTTTCCTTTGAAGCAGCATCTGCAATATTGCCTTGAATAATAAATGAGATGCTTTTAATTGCATTCCACCGTTTTGTTGCGAGCAAGTATTTTAATTTACTTAAATATTTGTATGCAACCTCTAAGACTTTTCTCATGAAGGAAATGATTTTTTTATCTTATATCATGGTAAACAATAGTAGCTCGATGGCGTAGAGGATAAGCGCCGGGGCCCGCGATCGTAGTCGTTAAGCAACTTTCGCAAGGGTTTGGTCACGGGATGGGTGACCAAAATATTATTATCTTGAGCTACTCCGTGCTTCGGAAGGCACGTTAAGCTGTTGGTCCCGGCTGCATTTGCAGTCGTTAATACCCTCCAATCCGCATTGGGCCAGCGTGGAGGGTCATGGCCTATCCTCCTTAACCATCCATAAGGAAGGCCTGAGCCCCTGCAGTGGGGACGTAAAAGGGCTGGTGGTGGTGGTGATGGTAAACAATTAGCAACGATGCTCCTATTTTTGTCTATTTGATGTATGAACATAAACCTTGCTTAGTCTACAAAAACTAAGAGATATAACCCGTACGAATTAATATGACAGTACGAATTACTATTATATTTGTCTTCGAATGAAAATTCGGAAAACTTCAAATCATCTTATATATTTTTTTAATCATCAAGTGCATTAGAGGCAGTGTCAAATTTAGTTCCGTTGCATCATAAATGATAGAAAAAGTGCATTTCATTGGTTTTCAAAAATAACAAAATTTCATTATCCGAAAAATAGAAAGAAGACGGGTGGCATGTTACATCGTACTATTATTTTGGTTTAGTAATAGACTAAAATCTACAATAATTTATGAATTAAGTCTAATAATAGCTTAAACCTATTTATTTATGGATCCAGAGTCTTAAATCTATTTAGACAAAGTAACGGCTAGTAGTTATAAATAAAAAAAGGGAAAATAAACATACCCATGTTGAACTTGAAGGAATGCTTGCGGCTGAAGAGTTTTTATACCTTCGACGTTGAGACAAGTGAAATGTGCCATGTTAGTTTTTCTTACTTCCTGGAGTTGAACTGTTGAATTTAATTAAATTTTTAAAATGTTTACAAAATATTGAACTACTTAGGGGGCGTCCATTAATTACGTGAGATGTTTAAGGGGGGATGCAAATCTCATCTAATCTTACGTTGGAGAGAGGGGGGGTCTCGGCAAATATCACGCAATTTTTTTTTCTGGTTGAAACAAAAACACAAAAATACTATTTTGGTCCATTTAATCCAGATTGTACATGCTTAAGATTTAATCTTAAGCGTAATCGTATACGATTAAGATCATTCACTAATTCGTTCAAAAGAAAATAATTTCATTCATACTTCGACGCTATACATCTACTGAATGTCAAACCACCATATTTGTAGGGTTCGAATGATACTTTCGATATCGAGTAGGCATCGATACTTTCAAAAGCTATACTCGATACTACAACAAGGCAAATACTCGCAAGTACTCATCAAATTGCATTTTGAAAAATCTCACGTGAGATTGGGGAATGGGGGAGGCGGTTGAATAAAATCTCACGACATCTCACCAGGGGGGGAGGGAGGGTCAGAAAATTAAAAAATTACCTCACGTAATTTATGGACGCCCCCTTATCTGTGCTATGATTAAAATTATACTGGATAATAAATATCCCCCAAATCATTGTCTGCAACTGCATTTACAGTGTTAATACCCTCCAATACGCATTGAGCTAGCGTGGAGAGTCATAGCCCATCCTCCTTAACCATCCATAAGGAAGGTCTGAGCCCTGCAATGGAGACGTAAAATGGCTGATGATCTATGTTATTTCTAATGTGTTATTTAATTTTTCGGTAGGTTCGAGAGTGTTCTTTTTGATAATGATACCAATTCTGTAGTGTCATTATCTTAACTAACAATACATTAGTTAATTGGGTCTAATTTAACGCTATTCCGCAGTAACAATCTGAGAATTTAGAATACTTCATAACTTATTTCAAATTAATTATTCGATTTAAACATAAGTCCATTATTTTCATATTTTTAATTCACTTTTTTTCCGTCGGAAGTTAATAGCCTTTATACCTTTTTATTTCTTAACATGCTTTATGTAATAAGGTATTCGCAAACTTTAAAAAAGTTCCTCCCATTTCATAGAACAACGCGAACTACCGTTCGAGTCTGAGAGGCATGCGAGCGTATAAATCAGCCAGCTCTTTTGTTAGTGGTTTTCAGCTATCGCTTTGTTTCCAACTTTCGCCTTCTTAACATCTTTTGAATAAGACTGAAATGCTATCTGTGTCTTCTCGTCGAAACGCGTGACTAACGGAATTCCCTTTTGGTATGGAAACATATTGTATACTAGCCTCTGAAGATGGATTTCTTCTTCTTCTTTTATTAATGGCTTATCTGCGCATTTCGCACAATTCTGCCAATGTTAAGTGAATAAATTTCTACATATAAAATGAAAATGAAATGAATAAAAGATGGCGATGATGTCAAACATGATGAGAAACCTGTAAATAAGGTGAGCGCAAAAAAAGGCAAATGTCTATCACATGTCATATTTTGTTAGTTTTTTCCACATAAAGGCAAAGGAATCTAGTGTATACGTTCTATTTGATGCAATTTTTCCTCTTCTGTTTTTGTAAAGGTTGGTATTCGTACGTTGTAATTCTTTGGACTTTTGGGGCCATTTAAAATATCCTGGAATGTAGTAAAATTTCGCCTTTAGGTGTTAATAAATTCACGGAGTACTTTTCTTATTTACGACCTGAAATACTACTATATTTCACTAAAGTATGTATTTCACATTTTATTTAGTAATATAATACCTTTATAAAATATAAATAATTTTGAACAATCAAGTGAAGCCCAAATGAATATTCTGGATCCACTTCATAATTTTCTTATTTTGTTGGAATTATATATGATCAGTTACAGATAAATAAAACTAAATTGCCAGGAAAATGTTTTTATAAATAACAATAAGAGGAATGAAGTATTATTGGATCAATAAATTTAATTTAACTATCATATATATATGAATGATTAGAGATTAAAATTCCGTTAAATTAATTTGCACACTTCCCTTCTAATTTCGATAGAACTACGCAATTAATTAGATATCGCGTTTCCATAATATCCGTGTTTACAACATGTAATACCAGTTGAATTGGAGAATGTAATTGTTAGAATATTAAACTTCGACAGTAGAATGTTACGTTAGATTTACAATGGCTTCATATTTATAGTATCCTAGAACAGATCTAGTGTATCACATATTTTACAACTAAGTAACACTTATTCCGATAAATAATTAATCCACCTAGGTAATTTATTATGGTCGAAAACAGTGTTATTTATTATATATAAAATATTTATATTTTGTTGACGTGATTTTTATTTATTTTACATAAATTGCTCTTTTTGTCATTTATTTTTTACAAAATACTATTTTCATGAACACAGGAATCTACGGTTTAAAAATTTGTTATTAGGCTACCGAAAACAGTGTTATTTTAACTGACCTAATAGTATTATGTTTACTGACCTGGTGTAAAACTGTGGTATTGATCTCCTCTTTCGAACCAAAATCTATCAGAAAACCTCATGAGATGGAATTGTTTTGTCATGATGCAATATAGTGTTGGCCCAACAAAAGTCCCTGGCATTAAATTCTCGCTCATAATGCCAGCGAGGAGGTTGATGTCTTCTATATCATGATACAATTTCTTAAGAAATTCCATTTTCTGAAAAAATAAATAGGTAAATACGATATTAGAAACTTTTTTATTAATGAAATGTTATTCCCATTCCCTATTAGGAATTGTTAGATATTCTTCTGTTACCCGCATTAACACATTAATGGTGACACAATTGCGAGTCGATAACTAGTAAGTAAAATACATGTTTATTAAAGGTGAACGGCCATATGTCAGCACGCACGCATCGGTCGCATGACACGCAACTGATGGACTATAATGGACGTTTGTGCAACTGGCTGTAGATGTATTAAAATCCCTATTACGTCATCAGTATGATGCCAAAGTCAAAACTGAGAGTCGCTTTTTTCTTAGAAGCATCTTTGAAAATGCGACTGCAGTGGACGTATGAAATCAACAAATCCGTGCAATCCATTGCGTGTCGTGCGGGCGGTGCGTGCGCGCTGAGGCAGTGAACGAGCACCTTAACATGTTTGTATACAGTTTTAATAACTGTTTGGGAGCATATGAAATTTATACGCAATTATTTTGACGATTTGGAAGTTTGTGCTTTTGACTTTGTTCTAATAATCGTTTTCGAATAAGTATGTGCTTGATGCGGACTATTAGCACTGCTTATCAAATATTATTTGTCTTTAAACACAAGTGAGATACACTATAATACTTTTTGGCAAATAAGCATACGAAAACCCTTATACTATTTTGATGCCTACGTAATAACAAAGTTAAGGCGTTGGAAGATTAAAAGTTATTTTCATGCAACATAAAAACGTCCTCGCGGTCGTTTTTAATGAAGACGAATGTTTGAAAGCGATTCAAAAACTTCGGCATTAAAGTACATTTGCTGTGTTTCCAGTAGTATTAGTACAATTTATATGGAACACAGCCAGCTTTTGTTACAATTAGTTTCATTTTAACACACGATTGTTCAAATGAAAATTTAGTAGTAAAATAATCTAATAATTGATTCCTGTGAACAGCTCAATGCGTAGTGGCTAGTGCGCTCGGTCTCCGATACGGTTGTTAAGCAACTTTTGCAATGACCGGTCATAGGATGGGTAAACAAACACTTAGTATCTCTGGCTCCTCCGAGCTTCGAAAAGAACGTGAAGCCGTTGGTTCCGCCTGCATCTGCAATCGTAAATACCTATCAATTCGCATGGACATGGCCCATACTCCCTATTCGATTATATTCGATCCTATCCATAGGGAGGTCCTAATAATATATACGAGAGATAGTAAACGACCATAGTCGACGACTATCCAGTGACAGATGAAAGTAGCCGCTCATCGCTTCGGGGGGTATCCTAATTGACTAACACGGTCCAGTAAACTACGGGATTTCGCCGTGTGATGAAAATAGGTGGTGGCCTGGTTTCCTTTACCAATTACATCTCACGACGCTTTAATGTCATCAATTCAATGAACTGCCATTAGAAGCGTTGCTATAATCTAAGTTTATTTAAATATATCTTTTGCCTATCAAATACCTATTATTAAACATTTCTGACACTAGCGAGAAGACAAGTCAAATAAAGCCATTCTATATTTGTACATTTCACTCATTATACGACTAATGCTCATCGCTTTTACTGTAGCTAGTGTAGATGATCTGCCATAAATGTTGTTTTCACTATAATGAAGACCTAAAATACACATTTCAGTTAATAATGTTTAAAAATAAGTCCGTACCATTTTAAAAAGGAGGTTAACATTGCATATAAAATAGATTTGAATATGTATTGGATTTTACGGATTTCGTATATAAATAAAATTGGTAATACTAAAAATATTTGAGATCAGCTTTTGCTTCATAGGATTACTTGAAATAATTAAAATAAATTGGATAAAACTACGCAGATTTCTGGACCTAAGCCTAGCAAAATATTTTTTTTTGTAATAAAATTATTGTATCGATTTTTAAAGATTTCGATTGTATTTATACAGAAACTGCAAACTTACCTCGACACTCATCACATCTAAAAGGTCTTCGAAGTGCTTAGCAGCTTTAAGACCGCAAAGTTCTCTATAGGCATTATAACCTTGCACTCCTAAGTCTCTCCCTCGTTGAATATCAGCGGCTACAAGATCGGCAGCGTTCTGCAGCTGCCCATAAAACTTCTCTGAAATCTTTAAAAGAAATTAGCTCACATAAGGAAGTTTGAACATTATATACGACCACTTAGAACTTCCAACTCTCTGAAACGTTAAAAACTTAATCAGCAAGTTAAATAGAAGCCTCTGGTTTTCTTAATTCTTAACGAAGTTTTATTAATAATTTGTTTTTATTCACGGAGGATTAAATTAGATTTATTCATAAGATTAATTAAAGATCATTATGTATATCAGTTAAACTTATTTACTTTTTGCCTTTTGTTTCAGTTACGATTTTTACAACATGTGCGGTATGACTAGTAGTATTCCCTTGTTTGTGAGTATGGAATGGATCAGGGGGCCAATTCTACTAAATAAATTTTGTTTAAATCGTATCGAAAACGGATCGAAATTGAACGAAAGAACAGTTTTTAATGGAAATGGAATTGTATCGTATGTCAATTTGTAGAATAGGAAAACCATTAAAAACTGTAGTTTCGTTCGGTTTCGATCCGTTTTCGATTCTAGAATTTATTTAGTAGAATTGGCCCCCAGGTTTTTTTCGGCTTTGGACCATAAACAATCCCGGTGTGTTGTTAATGAAACGCGTAAAATATTTGCACATACGTATACTCGTATTAGAACATATACATACTTAAAACCTTCTTTGTTAAATAAATAAAAATTATTAAAGTGAAACTACGAGTAAAATGAATGGCGGTTATATTGAAGAGACTATCTTTAAAGTGGAACTTTTAGTGAAATACGCGATATGGAAGTATCCCCGTTGGACTTCATAAGAAATTTGTTTTTGTTTTTAATTTTTCGAAGTCAGTTCAAGTATTTTGAAAGGCATCGTAATATCGTATCCATTAATAAGACTCTAACCAACTTTAACAAGGAGGTTATCGATTTGATCTGTAATATTCTCATAGGTATGTTGTGTTTGTGGCCCAATAATAAATGTAAGAAGGTTTATGTATGTCTGTCAACATAATTCTCGTAAATTCACATAGGGTCGCAATTATTTTTTTTTCAATTCCCGACACAAAAAGCGGGTTGTTATAAGTTTGACCTCTCTGTCTATGGGTTTGTTTGTGGCACAGCGGCTCCTGATTGAATGAACCGATTTGAGTGCAGTTTTTTTAAACGAAAGCTTTGTCGGTATGGGTGATTCTTGGCTATCTTTGTTTTATGAAAATCGGTTGAGGAGTTTAAAGCACCTTGGCAAGACGAAGCAACTATTTTTTTAAATTATTTGTACTTACAGCTACAGTTTTATTTAGTCAATTGCCGTTTAGGATAAGATCGTTCTGAGATATATTTTTTATTTATTATATACATTTGAAAGGAATGGAATAAAAAATAACATCACTATTAAATTTATGAAAATAATATTATTTAAGCTCCTTATGCACAACCAAGTTGTATTATGGCCTGGCTAAACGAATTTGGCTTTGCAAAATTTGCAAAAGAATGATTTTTGGGGTGTGAGCTTTTTGTGTAATGAATAAACTTTCAACTTAGGGAATATGATAAGTTTCAGTTTAGTTTTATTAAAATCGATTTAGTAATTTTGATTATATAATAAATATACTAGAGTTTAATTCAATAGATTAAAGGAATAAAATTAACAGTTATACAAGTAGCTATCTTCTTTTCAATTTTGAAGTAGGTTAAATAATATAACCAATTTCAAGATATTTTTGGGGTGTGGTTTTTTTGTGTAATGAATTAGCTTTCAACTTAGGGAATACGAAAAGTTTTAGTTTGGTTTTATTAAAATCGATTTAGTAATTTTGATTATATAATAAATATACTAGAGTTTAATAGATTAAAGAAATAAAATTAACAGATATACAAGTAGCCATCTCCTTTTCGATTTTGAAGAATGTTAAAAAATATAACCGATTACAAGATAGTTTCGTAAAAGTGAGAAAAAAAAATTATTGAAGTCAAGCCGTTAATATTAATAAACTACATAAAGTACTTTTATTTATTTTTTTTTTACTTTTGTCAGCCTTATTTAAGTCAGGTTTTTCTTAATAATAATAGAGTGTAATAGAAAATACGTATGTTTTCGACATCATTTCCTGTTTCTTGCGAACAGTAAAAATTGGCTTACGTCAGGATCTTGTATGTCGTCTACTTTGGCTGCGGGTTGGTAAAATATTCCTCTATTGATATCTTCGTAATTAGTATCGATCTCAAGTAATTCTTGTCTGAACAATGTATCGCTGTACGAGAATTCACCTACATAATGATGTCGTTCACTGTATTTCCTGGAAAAATAAAAATGTTCTCATAATTTTAGATTATGATCCTTCATAACTCCTGTGCAGAAGGTAAATCATTAGTGTCAAATTGTTCGTGAACATATGACATTCTAATAAATTAAGTAATATTGAGATATTTTTTCTTTCAAGAAAAAGATTTGTCAAGAGTCTTTCGTCACGGAACTATGCATATTAACACGCAACTGGATTTCCGTCGATTGTGTAAGTTTAAAAAACAAATCATATTAATTGTCAGTAGACGTACTAATTGTTTCAAAAGAAATACAAGCTTAGCTTAGCGAAATCGAGATGGCGAGACTCGAGAAGGTGTTTGGGATCAAGATGTCTTTGGTCGAGAGTGAGTATGGGCGCACAAGGTAAAAGTGAACAGATGAAACGATTCTCGAGTTCTTCGTGCTAGTTTCGCTACAGCGCATAGTGTGACACAAATGATACATACCAAATTATTGCCTGTATTTCGTAACACGACGTCGTTTCACGCTATCAATTATAAAATAGCGTAACTACATCGGAATTGAAATATATATAATAATAAACATTGCTGTTTTATTTCATTCTCAATAAGAGTAAGTTAGACGCACTTGACGTATTTTGTGACATATCTGGTATATACGGACATACATGTTTTAAAAAATCCAAAAATATTGAATATAGTTTTTATATCAACATAGGTAACATTTTAAAGTACATTTTATTTTTCTGTTATATTTACAAAAATCTTGCGCATAAAATACACAATAGTTAAGTTTAACATAAGGACAATGAGATGTTCAGTTTCTGCATGAAGACTGAACTACTTGTAAATGATATCAACGAATTGGTATTATTGATAAAATAATTTTTTTTCTTTCTTTAATATGAAATGCATTCCTTATACAGGAATATTTTTTTTCCAGTGCAAAAATTTTTTTTGGTGGTTCAGTATCAGTAATAGAACACTTTTCCATAATTAGTTAAAATTTTTTTTTTTAATATTTTTATCCCTATCGAAACGGTAGAATATGGACACATTTTTTAAAATCAAACTTCAATGAAAACGTCTTCTCTTGCGTATGCCACCGTGCAACCCCGCCGCGCCCGGTAGCCCCCCGCCACAGCCCCCACCGCCCCGCCGGGACCGAGCGACGCGCGCGACAGTGAGACTCATACGCACGCGCCGATGTGACGTGTCCTCGCGTTCCCGCGCACGCGACGCGCCCGCCGTCGTGAGTTTTACGAGATGTACGAGTTTATCTTTTGAGTGGTGAGAACCTACATAAGTATGCGGGCCTTTGGGATCCGTAACCCCGCGGTCCCTAATGCTTCGAACCATTTTAACAGACGAAGTCCCAGAGTCAGTACCCACGATGCGGCATATCTCTTTGGTGTGAGCCAGCCTGCGGTATTGAAGCTGCTAAAAACAGCCGGACTCCATCCGTACCACTTTCAGCCGGTTCAGCAGTTCCATGACCTAGACCCAGTACCACGTCGAGCCTTATGTGAGTGGCTTCTACATCACCGCGATGCAAACATCTTGTAGACGGATGAGGCATTGTTCACAAGTGAGGGACTGTTTCTTATGGGAAGAAGTCAAACGCCGAGATGTAGAGGAGGCACAAAGTCTAGAAGACTTAACAATAAAAAATAATAACGCTTTCAGTGAAGTGAAAAGTGACACTTGTGTTTTAAACAAATTAAATGACAATTTAATGAAATGTGCACGTTTATGTCTGGACAGACGTGGACTTCATTTTGAACAAATATTAAAATACATGGTAAGTAATTAGTTAGGTATTTGTTTTGATTCAACATTATTGTAAATACGTAGTTGATTCAAATTTTTTTAAATACGCCTTAACGCAGAAGTACCTATGTAACTTCGGCATAACGTTAATATTTTTTTCTAGGTAACGAATTTGTTTCTCTTTTATTTTTTTGCATTTTGATGGCCTTAACCATAAAAGTATGAAGGGAAAATTGGAATTACTCTTAGAAAACACCTCAGATCATGGCATAAAATCTAGTTCGAATCTAACAAAATGAGCGTTCAGTGACCCGTGTAGATAGGTACCTACGAGTACATGCCTACGGCGGCGTCGAGCGAGCGCTCAGCTGACGCACGGCGCGCGGTGTCCATAAATTAAGTTTTGAAATCTCGATCTTTGATAAGCGATAACTTTATTTTTTAGTATTAGAACATATCAAAATAAAAAATACGTGTTTATTTAAATTACTTAAAGTTTATTTTCACAAAATCTTCGCAGTGGTTTTAAATTATTCCTGTATAATATTTACCTACCCCAAATGTACTTATATATACGTACTTTGTGGTAAAAATAATTTAATTTATTAAAAACTCTACAACGAATTCTGCTACAACTAGCCTTACTTGATACGGCCGTCCAGCAAAGTTCTGAAATATCTCCTTGCTATTTCATATTCCGCAAATACAAGAGGCACTGCGTCATCATTATACGCGGTCACGTAATCCACCTGCTCAGATATGAGTCCGGAAGCCACCATGTTTTTATAACCTGTGTGCGAAATATCCCTTTATATTCTTAGTACCAAACTGACTTTCACATAAGAGTCATAACTTCTCTTGTAGCTAAATAGAGATTGAAAAAATATCTATAATAAACTATACAGTTTCATTCGTAGATATATTAATATTCATTATTTTTGAGTAAAAATTTTTATTATTTAACAAATTTGTTAAATTGTATGATAAATATTGGGAAGTGTTTGTTTTATTCAAAACTATAAAGTATTATTTTGAAATGTTCTAGAGCTGGAACTCCCTAACTATTAAAGAGAATTCTTTAGCAAAGTCGACTGATACCTTAAACTCTATATACGACCAACTTTCGAATTACTATTAACAATACAATACAAAACTCTTTATTGTTCACATTACACAATTTTATAGTAAATTAACACTATTATATAACAGTTGGCGGCCTTATCGCTTAAATCGATTTCTTCCAGGTAATCAGTGGATGGAGAGAGATAACATGAATACTGAAGATGGGGTTGTAAATGTTAACAATATATCATCAAGGCACACTAATGATTTATTTAAATAATCAAAATTTTCGTGCTAAATACACATATAAATGTACAATAAATAAAAACGATACAAAAATATATTCATTTACAACACATACATACATATATACTCGTACACACACACACACATATAAATATATACATTCACCTATTAATGACATAATAGGAAAAGCGATAATACGGCAGCAGTAATTATTATTGTATGAGGTAGTATTCTTTAACAAATTTTTTAAATATATGTATGGATTGCGCTCGCCTGATTGAAAGTTGAAGAGAATTCCATAGACGAACAGCTTGTACGGTAAAAGACGAATCATAAAATGAAGTGTGTTGAGATGGAATCGCAAGACTCAGGTTCTCTGATGATCGCTATGAATAAGAATTTGAGCAATGCGAAAGACTGAAACGATCTTTTAGATAGCAAGGGTAACTAGAATTAAAAAATATGTTACAGAGAAGGGAATGAGAATTCCGGCGAAAACGTAAAAAAGGAAGCCACTTGAGTTCAAAACGAAAATGAGAAACATGGTCATATTAGCGCAAACCAAATATGAAACGTATACAAAAGTTTTGTAAACGCTCAAGTTCATTAATAGGAAGTAGCAACCATTGCGCTAGCGCAGCTTTAGTCGCAGTGGGTAAAAAGTTTCGTAGTCTTTTCGATGAAGCGGCTGATGGATATAATTTGCGATATAGCTTGCAGTTGTGCATTCCAATTCAATTGACTGTCCGTTACTATTTCTAGTTTATAAATTTTTTAAATCAAATACAGTCAACAATATCTCAGATTGTGCGACGCTATTAAATTCTGCTTGATTTTAAACCTTAACAGATTGATAGTAGGGTTAAAATGCATCATGTCTTCAAGATTTCAAAATCAGTATTCATTTCTATTCTTTCAATTTTTGAACATGTTGAAAAATATGTTTCAATTTATATGTTATTCGTTTATCAAATAAAACATGTTTCTGAACTTGAGAACTACAATTATAGACGAGTGTTAATCCGAAACTAGGGTACATTAAGTTATCGTGATGATAATTAGTTGTTTTTCGGTGTTCCACCCGAGGGTTAGTACCCTATTAGTTGCGGTCGCTTGAACACTGCTTAACCCAGTTTCCTAAGTGTATCTTTTCAGTGTCTTGTCAGTATTAATGTAGCAAGTAATGATTAGGATTTTTCTTTATAAGTTGTGGATCTTTACTTTTAATCTAAGAAAAATAACTTTAACTTAACTTTAATTGTGACAAATAAAACAAGTAAGATGATAAATGAGTAGCTCGGTGGCGTAGTAGATAAGCGCCGCGGCCGGGTCGGTCACTGGATGGGTGACCAAAATTCATTATCTCGAGCTAATTTGTACTTTGGTAAGCACGTTAAACCGTTGGATGTATTTGTAATAATTATCTCTACTATATAGTAAATATCCTTCAATCAGCATTGGGTTATGGCTCATCTATCCAGGATAACAATGACATTTATAATATTCGGCTTTATTTAACAGCTGTTTTACTTTTTTATTTACAATAGGTTGAGTTGCATATTTTATTTTTGTAGAGATTTTCATATAGTAACTTGATATAGGAAATTATATGACAAAGAAATTATAATAAATATATTAACAAGTTTTGTTACATATTAGTGTGGTAACTATATAAAATGACTACATTAATTCTTGGAAATGTATTGATTTTTCGAACTTACCTAATATTAGTGGTAGTAACTCGTAGAATAATAATGTTTGCAGCGGTGGCAATATTTAGTTGGCGTGCTGTATTGAAGATTCTATCATCTTTCCAACAGGGATTAATATTCCGTAGATTAGTCGCTAACCGGTTGTGATTCTTTGCAAAGGATATAGTGAATATTGTAGTCCTCAAATCATAGTTGCCAATGCTAGACATGCCTAAAAAGGAATAAATTTATCTATGTCTTCATACCGTATATCTTGAGGGTTAGCCAGAGATGACCGATTGCCGTAAAGCATGGCCTTACATATATCTTTCGCCACCATTACACTTTTCATTCACGCTCGCAGGTTTTATGTCTTCTAACGTCATTTTCTAATTTATTTTATTATGATAATGTTTCTATTTGTCTTTTAAAAACATTTGCTATTATACCGCCAGGCTTCAAGTCGAACATTACGATAGTATTTTCAACGAAAAATATTAAAATAGCATTGTGAATATTTAATTCACTAAAATAATGATGCAAATATTGTTGATTCAACTCATTAGGTTGTGGTTTTATTAAATTTGCTTTTTTAGAGCGAGTTTTATTCTAACGATATGTTATAACTTGCTCAAAAGATATTCTTTAAAATTGGAAATATTGTTTTGCATTAAGTGAAATCTGTTTTGTATTAACATTCGATTGCATGTTAAATTAAAGTTGAAAAAAATCTTCAAATTCTGAAGTCATAAAAACTGTCGGTAAATACAATAAATTAATATTTATATATAAAATATTTATCGGTATCGGTGATCTATTTAATCCAGTATTCTATACTATAAAAAGGTCATCTATAGAATACCTAAAAACTGTGGGTAACGTATTAAATCTTATTCTATACTTTCCTTAGGTATTTTATATGTCGCATCATCATTACGAAGATCGTTTGATTTAGTTTCTTTTATTTTAATTGCTAGTTACTCGATTACTTAATTACTCGATTGTAAAGAGAGAATGGTGACACTGACTTTGACAGTTCGTTTATAAAAACCAAGTTGCCGCCATTTTGGCACACATTCTGTTTCCAAACGCCGAGGAGTAAAGTCATCAGATGACATCACGCTCATCTCGTTATATTTTCGTAAGAAAAGTGATAAAATGGAACAAATCCACGTTGATATACACGCCTGCAGTGTTATTTTAAAGATAGTCCTCCGATATGGACGATCTATTTGGGCTTCGCAATAACCCATTCGGACTACACGCCGTTATATATAATACCGAATGCACAGCCGATATTGTATGTAAAAGACGAGAGCAAAAAAGGAGGGGATTATCTAATTATCTAATAACGGAATTATCTAATAATATAGATAGGTAAATAATAGAATTTAGAGCTTGGTGACATAGTGGATATTCCGCGACCCGCGATTTTTATCGTTAAGCAACTTTCTCAATGGTCGGTTACAGGATAGGTGTTAAAAAAAGTATTAATTCGACTTACTCCGTGCTTTAGAAGACACGTCAAACCGTTGATCCCAGCTGCGTACGCAGTCGTTAATACCCTCCAATCCACATTGAGTGTGGAGGGTCATCCTCCTTAACCATCCATAAGGAAGGCCTCAGCTCCTGTAGTGGGGATGTAAAAGGACTGATGATGAAACAATAGAATTTAAATCCATAAAGCGGATATATTACATTAGCATATTCGCCAGTCGTGTGATTTAAACAAATAAATAATCAGAATTCTTACCAAATTTATAACACACACCATTACTTTTCGTATTCTGAAAGCATACATCCCCGGTTTCATTGAGTGGTACTCTTCTATTCATTCTTATCTCTTCATTTATAAGACCGTATTGGTACTTCCTGATTTTTTTGAGAGCTTCTTCATCCTCTCCATAAATGGTTGAAAGATCTAATACCGGGGTTTGGAAGTTGATCTAAAACAATTTTAATTTGATATTTCTTATATATCTCTAAGTACCTACAGTAGAATATTTAAACTATTAATTACATCTAATGATACTCGTATTCATTTCTGGAAATATTTATATATGCTATCGTTATGTTGGCGATAAATATTATAGTTAATATTAAACCTATCTCTAATAAGATTTGTTCACTCAACAAAGTTCGTCATAACGTCGGAATGCCGATACTAATTTGATTGAAGTTGGTTTAATGATGATATTTGTATGTCGGTACAAAAATTCTAGGGAAAATGTAACTAATATAATAAAATAGGTTAAGTGTTATATGTAGAATACCGACTCTTCCAAAGTTTAAAACAAAATGTTTGTAAAATAGAGATATTAGATATATTATGTGATATATATATTTATATTTTTAAATGTTGGAGTTTATGCCCTGCTTTCAGTTATTTATTTAAGTAAGACAACTTTATTTATGTTATCGCTCCAAATTTAATACAATCGGTTCATTAGGTTCATGTACCATATTAGAATATTTATATACTGACAGCGAAATCTATTTAATTACACGACATCTATTATTTTTATTCTAAATGACATACAGAAATCAGTTACAAAGTGGATTTAGTAACTACAATTTCAGTTCTGCACTTATAACAAGACTTGCGAATAGTTAAAAGTTTGGAAATGCAGGTGTTGAAATATATCGTCAAGATAAGTACAATGTCTGCGAACTTTGTACGTCTCGTTTATATTGTGCAAGTTCAGATATCGGATATATACTGTATCCAAGCAATGGCAAAGTGTTGCCATTTATTGGCCTATGATGTAATTTTTATAATCTTAAAATAATATTTTATCTTTAATAAAAATATGAGAAAAATAGTCCCACAAATCCTGTGATCACGAGATACAGAATTTTAAAAGAAATTAAAGTCATAGTTTAACATATTTACGCGTTGCGATTCTATAAAAATCCAAACCCGAATTCGAATTCACTCAGGTGTCCGGACTCACTTCAATGAGCGGCATCCGCTCAATCTTGAATCGATAATAACATTTTGGCATAAGAAAAGTGAGTTGCGAAATTACATCAAAAGAACGTCTGAGACACGTATAAGCAATCAATTTTGTTTTGTATTTTTATATCGTACAAAAAATGGAATCAATAGAATTTCTTTAATAAATGATGTGAATGAATGGACACATAAGTGAATTCAAATCGCTCTGCAGCACGCGTAGCATGACGAACTCGATAACGTTTTGTCTACACTCAAATGTCACTTTTCTCGGGTGCGCCCAAACGATATCTCACTCTTGACCCGAGAAACTTACAAATGAGTGTAGACAAAGCGTTTCTCGAGTTTGTCATGCTACGCGTGCTGGTCATTACAAGAAGTATTATATCAGGTCATTACAAGAAGAATTATAGGTATATATTCCAGAAATGAAGTTGGATGTAGAAATGACTTATTGTATTGGAAATTTAAAAATGAATGCCGAAATTTAGGCATGTGTCATGAATATACGACATTATAGAGATGGAAAAATAAAAAGTGCAAGACCAGATTAAATAGTAAATCAGAATTGGGTGGTTTTGGGTGGAGGACGAAAAATATGAGTCCTCCTCTATTCTTATAGATGTAGTGCTCGATAACATCCTTGGTGAACTAGTTCGGATATATTCCTATTGTGACAAAGTAAAAGCATATATAAAAGTAGCATTGTCATATAGTTTCAAATCAATGCAATATATAAGGTGTAATTTTATTATATGTCTGGACTTCGTGGGGTGGATTAGTTAAGTATACTGAACAACTTTTATTATAGGTGCAACACTGAATTCACAAAAAAATAATCAGCTTTATACAAAATTATAATACTTACAATCGTTGACAGTACAATTAACCGCCCTTCCAACAACCATCTTCTATTTCTTTCAATTCGAAGAAATCGCCAAACGTAGACCACATTTTATGAAAGGAATGTTAAAAACTAATCTTAAAGAAAAAAAAATCAACAAAAATATTGGAAAAATATCTTTTATTAAAGGATGCTAACCAAAAATCGATTTATTTATTAAATCTTCAAACAAAATTTTAACATTTTGGTTTTGAAAGTAATGGGGCAATTAAAAAATAAAAATAACACTGGGTGTTGCCACCTCTGGCCCTTATGACTTCTTGGAGCGGGTTTGTCAATCCATCCATGATGTTTTGAATATCCGACTAGGGGATATTGTGCCACTCCTCTACCGTATCCGTTTTTAGTTCTCCTATAGTCGTATGGACTGGTACTCTTGCTCGGACACGTTTTTCTATTGGGTTAAGATCGGGACTGCGTACGTTTCATGGTAAAACTTGAATTCCTAACTCATTAAGGACATACTCACTGACGAATCTTGCGGTATGACAATGTGCGTTGTTATGCATTAGTTTGAAGTTATCACCAATAAATGGAGCGAAAGATATAACAAGGTCTTGAAGAACTTCTTCCACGTATCTTTGAATATTTACACTTCATATGAATACCATACCATTATGGACCCTCCCTGGTAACCTACTGATTCAGTTGGAACAAACCTCTCATTTTGACGTCTGTAGATAGGCTGACCTCCATCTGGATCTTTTATTGCTATTCTGATCTCATCTGAGGACAGTACGTTCTTCCATTCCTCTACAGACCAGTCAGTATATTCTCGCGCAAAACCAAGTTGCGGAGCACGAGCTCGACGAAAAGTCCTCAAATTACTTTATGCTAGTCTTCTCCTAAGGGTACGTTCACTAACACTCACATTTCTCGCCTCAAAACGACGTGTACGAGCTTCAGCAGCGGTCATAAAGCGATTTCTCAACACAATGGTGACAACGAAATTGTCATCTCGAGTCGAAATGAATCGATCTCGGCCTTGACCTGACCTGCGTATAAGCCTGTCTCTCGAAATCGTCTGATAGCATCTCGTACCGTAGTACTCAATACTCAATACTCAATACTCAAATGTTTATTGCAAAACCATAGTGTTACATTGATGTTACAAAATAATAATATTAGTATCAAACTATGGACCCTGTCGGGCACAGCAACACTTTATAGAGAGGATACATATCAAAAATAAAATAAGTGGTCTGGCAATTTAATAATAATCATAAAGTTAATCAATTATCACTAACAGTCATTCAAATTCATCAACAATATAATATACATATAAATAAAATAAGACAAATTTATAAATTTGATATTATTCTGTCATATTATTACTTGTATGAAATTGATTTGTAATTAATTTAATTAGTACTCAGAGTGTGCGAGCGATAAGACGCTGGCTATACCCCGCATCAGCTAAAGCCACTGCCCTAACTACATCAGTTGCATGGAGTGGCATTTTTTGCAATCACAATCAATGAGCAAACACTATCATTTCAAATTAAATAATATTCGTACTCTATGATACAAGATGAAATGTTAACTTGGAAACACAAAAGCAACAATGTAAAACAATTACTAAATTCCGAAAACCCTTTGGTGACACAAATTTAGGCAAGAAAATATTGGTATGAGTATTTTATTCGAATGGACCAATCGAATATATCAATTGTAATGACACAACGCAACTGAAATTGTTAATAAGTAAATAGTAAAACGTAGTACGGCACTCCTCCACCTTCAAAATATCAGTGCTTTTGTGATGTTTACTGTCACAAAAGATATAACTGAGAGAGCCACCTGGTTGGCCTCCCAATATATCTCTGTGCTGTATTTTCTATAATTTTGTATGTGTTGTATGTATTGTGAAGGCCAATAAAATCATTTTATTTATTTCTATTTTATTTATTGCAAAAGTGCCCACTTAACAAAAAAACAAACAGTTGATAAGCCATAGTTTACGGAACCAAATGATAGAGGTGGGCGGTTAATTGTGCCTGTGAGTGTATTACGCCTTATATACTTATTAAATAAATTTCACCTGTTCGGGATGGTTTTGCCTCGGGGTACATCCGGAATCAGAAAATGTTTCCGCTCGGCTGAAGTTCATGCACCGAATGTTTGTTACTCTCAAGTATGGGTCGTCATGAGGAATATGTATGGGAGCACAGCGGTAGTCTAATTTGCCTCTTTCTTCGCAGCAGTACTGTCTTCTTCTTAAATAATCCACTGTAGTATAATAGATCGATTTAATATTCACAATGCATTTACCATTCAAATTGCATTGGTATCATGTAAAACACCGTTAAGAGGAAAAATATAATTATTTATAGGTTTAAACGATTAGTCTCCAAAACTACTGGAACGATTTTAAAAATTCTTTCACCTACGAGTAGCTATATCATACGGGGTTGACATAGACTATATTTTACTCGTGCGAAGTCGCGGGAAAACAGCTAGTTTTCTTTTAAAAATTATATTAAGACATTTAGGCAGTATGGTTTTGTATTTTGTAAAAAAGGTTGCTTACTCAGACAAATTAATTGTAGTATTAACCTGTTATGAGTAATAAGTAATAACCCAATAGGCTTCAATCAAGCTTTTATATCATTTATTCAGTGGTGGTAACTTAAACCTGGATATTATTCGTTCGCAAATCTACGGCTCGATTCTTGGACGGAGACTATTCATCATTCTTGCTGAATTTTACTTTAGATAATACATTAGTGAAGGGATTAAAAATTTAAACTCGATAGAATTCATCAACTAAATGTTTACTCTTACAGATTCCATCTACGACACTAATATCTCTGTTGATGAAGTCCAGAAATGTTACAGCGGCTGCATTGAAATTAACATGATCTATTACTCGACCCGTCGAATGCAATTCTGTCCTAACCTTCCTGGCAGACGGCAGAGATTTCCCGTTTCTATCCTTACGAATATTGCCATCTGAAAGTTTAAATAAAACACGGTATAAATATCGCATATGTTGCGTCATGTTTTTACTGGTTGATCACTAAGCGTCGTTTTAAAAACCAAGACTAACTTTAGTGCCAGATTTAAATCATCACCCAACTAAAATAAGTCTGAATTTTATGCTTTTTCCTCTGTTATTGTCAATCTTCCTTAAGCGGCCAATGGTTTAATTATTCTTCGTTTATAGTTAACCTAAGACTATACACAATACCATGATGTAGCTTATTCAAATAAGTAATCAATTTATTTTTATAAAAAATAAGAATGTGGCGAGTCAATGTGCTTAAGGTGGCCCACATTGTAAATGACACGGACATTAGTTTTATTATAAATTCAACATTATAATCACAAAGCAATGCTACCAAACGTAAAGTAACAGGCTGTGTGCGAGTCAGACTTGTGTACGAGTAATAAAATAACGTTTGTTGTATGCATGCTCCCTTAAAGTTATTTATATTATTCTGGTTTTTAGTATTTACAGTTGAAGCGGCAACATAAATAATCTGTGAAAATTTCAATTGTCTAACTTTCACGGTTTATGATATACAGCCTGGTTATTTTAAATTACTTATGGAAACAATAAACTTATTGAGTATTGAGTATTAGGTTTGAAGATTGAAATGGTGGCCTAGAGTGGGACAGGCACACTTATTTAAAAAATGGACACATTTTGAACTGTATACACTAATCAAAACTACATATATAGCGCTATTTCTGTGCTGCATCGCGTACAGAGATAATGTAACGATGATGAAGCGATATAGCGCCTAAGTGGCGTTGCGAGCTTCAGTCGTCATTTTTCACAGCGCCTTGTCACGTGAATATTTTTACATTTATCCGGGAAAAAAATCCCGTACGTGATAGCTACGTCACACATTATTCTGAATATGAAGTTATAAATTACCGTATTTGTGTTTTATTTTTTTAATAAAATATTTAATATAATTGAATGTTAGTTGTGGTTCCATAGGGATGATAACTAATTTTTAAAAGCATATTAAATACGTATTTTTTACGTACCTAATAAGGAAGTATTTAAAAAAAAAAACGAAAGCACTAAAAAAGCACCTCTACTAGATAGCGACTCTAGCAAAAGTTGATTTTTGCATGAAACAAATGGACTAAAGCTAGTCATTTCCGTTCCTTTTAACTAAAATATTAAAAAATTGGAATTTGAAAATGTTGAAACTTAGATATCAATACAAATATGAAAAACAAATTTTCTATTAAACATGAAAGAAAACCGGAAGGGTTTTCATGGAGAAATCAAGAACGTACCGTAGCGACATCTAGTTTGATTTCGGGAACTAATGTTTTTTTTAAAAACTTCCTCATTGATAAATTACGGTGTCACATTGAGTTGAAATCAAATTAAGTCAAACATTAAACAATATCACATACATTGCTCAGATTCCAAGATGAGTAGCTAAAGCCCCCGTATTATGGCGTATCCGAGACAACGAAGGTACCACAACACCCATACTCGAGACAACATAGAAAAGTTCATTTTCTACATTGACCCGACCGAGAATCGAACCCGGGACCTCAGAGATGGCGACACTTAGAAACCGGCGTGCGAACTACTCGGTTACGGAGGTCGTCAAATGTCGTATGACTTAGTACATTTTCTACATAATTGTGAAGTAGCGACTAAGAAAACCTCAATTTTATTGTCTATTACCTACGCCATTACTTAATAAATTGAAGAAAAAAACGTTTATGTGTAATAGCATAATTTTTGATATGAAGTTAAGATTTACGTACTTTATAAAGCCACTAATATAAAAATTAATATTTACATTACAAAACCAACAAAATTAAATGAGGAGCATACAATTTACAATAATATTTTGTATAGAAATTTTCTATATTTTATTTTCTAATGCATTATGATAATCAAACGTTAAGATATAGACGCTTATACAGAATGTTATACGTACATACGTATTAATCTAAATATATATATAACGCAAAGGTGACTGACTGACATAGTGATCTATCAACGCACAGCCCAAACCACGGGACGGATCGGGCTAAAATTTGGCATGTAGGTAGATGTTATGACGTAGGCATCCGCTAAGAAAGGATTTTGATCAATTCTAACTCCAAGGGGATAAAATAGGGGATGAAAGTTTGTATGAAACTTTGTCAATTTTAAACCGATCGGGGTAAGACTTTGCATGCATAAAGCTATTATGACGTAGGCATCCCCTGAGAAAGGATTTTGTTAAATTCCACCCCAAGGGGATAAAATAGGGGATGAGAGTTTGTATGAAACTTTGTCAATATTAAACCGATCGGATTGAGACTTTGCATGCATAAAGCTACTATGACGTAGGAATCCCCTAAGAAAGAATTTTGATAAATTCCATCCCTAAGAGGATAAAATAGGGGATGAAACTTTATTTAAGGTATTTTACACGATATCATACACATCACCAGCCCTTTTACGTCCCCACTGCAGGGGCTCAGGCCTTCCTCATGGATGGTTAAGGAGGATGGGCCATGACCCTCCACGCTGGCCCAAAACGGATTGGAAGGTATTAACGACTGCAAATGCAGCCGGGACCAACGGCTTAACGTGCCTTCCGAAGCACGGAGTAGCTCGAGATAATAATTTTTTGGTCACCCATCCCATGACCGACCCTTGCGAAAGTTGCTTAACGACAACGATCGCGGGCCGCGGCGCTTATCCACTACGCCACCGAGCTTACACGATATAATGAATAAATATTCGTTAGAAATGCTGCTCAAAGTAACTTTACTACGCGGACGAAGTCGCGGGCAAAAGCTAGTACATAATAAGGGTCATCGCAAATCTGAATATGCTTTAGTACACGACGCATCTTAGATCTTATCAGTTCTGCCTATAGATAAATAAATAGTTCTCACGTTCCACACCCGACAAAAAATGCCACATCTATCGTCAGATGCACCAAGCTTAAGTCCATGAAGTTTTGTTTTTGAAATTTTTAATGAATTTGAAAACGTAACTTACTCGGGCCATAGTCTGGCTTCAGCAGACGCAGGTAAGGTCCCCTGGCGGATCCCCTGGAGGGATACTTGTAATTGTTGCATGTACCGTCGACCCTGCTACCTTCATGTGGCTGGCAAGGCCTCACATCTATCGCACATGTTCTGTGACAATATTTGTAAAATTTTCATTATTGAAAATTGATTTTTTTTTTTATATTGAAGATAAATTACGAAAGAGGTTTCTGCCACTATGCAGACACATTTTTTACCTTTGTTAATTTAATCATAAACCTGCGTTAGTTCTTTATTAAAAAAAGAGATGGTACTTATAAGTTTCACATTTATTTTATATCAGCTTTCCGGCAACGGCTTCATCCGCGTGGTCCCTAGAGAACTGTTTATTTGAAAATAATGACAATGACAAATTGAATAGTAAACAATTATTACTATGGTAACGTTTTAATTCCCTTTACAAACCTCCATTCCCATTTTCATCCCTTTATTTGCTGTTTTTCGGGATAAAATATATCACATATATGTCGCATCATCATTACGAAGATCGTTTGATTTAGTTTCTTTTATTTTAATTGCTAGTTACTCGATTACTTAATTACTCGATTGTAAAGAGAGCGTGATCATCGATACTTTTAATTTTATTAGAATGGTGACACTGACTTTGACAGTTCGTTTATAAAAACCAAGTTGCCGCCATTTTGGCAGACATTCTGTTTCCGATCGCCGAGGAGTAAAGACATCTGACGACATCACGCTCATCTCGTTATATTTTCATGTGAAAAGTGATAAAATGGAATAAATCCACGTTGGTATACACGCCTGCAGTGTTATTTTAAAGATAGTCCTCCGATATGGACTATCTATTTGGGCTTCGTAATAGCCCCTTCTGACTACCCGCCGTTATATATTTTATCCTTTATATATTTCATATATATATTTCATATCATATATACTTCATACATTTTTAAGATTCCGTAGGTGAAATTATTTTTTTAAATCAGTCCAGAAGTTTCAAATCTTTCCTCTTTATAATATAAGTATAAATTGATGTCCTATTTATTATTCATGATAAAATTATGATGTAAAGTTAATTAATATTAAATGATCCAGATGGCATAACTTTCGACCTTCACAAGTGCTTATTACAGCGTAGACTGAATGAATGATATTGAATTTAAATTTGAAGTATTATAATCTTGATCTATAATCGATAGGCCTGTATGTATCATCAGTATGATACTGATAATCAATACAGATTGACGTCAAATTATGTGGTAATTAAAACCTATTTTTTCCTGTAGTGTAAATCAGTTCATTATCAAATCGATAATGATTATATTTTAACATTCAGTATTACGTTTGTCTTACCTGTTAATTGTATGTAAGTCACTTCCAATTTTGCTTCCCGAATGCCTATCAAATATTTCTCCGCGAGCTTCTAAAACAACGACTAACAATGACCAAACTAAATATAATTTATCCATGTTTATAACCGATCACCACACAATTTCACACTATTTTGATGATATTTTTCATACTTGTTCGTTTTAAACATCGACTTGGAAAATAAAAGCATCCTGTTGGCTCATAATAGACTGTAATATACTTGTAATCGGTAAATCGTAATTGATTTCTAAAAGGGAAATATAAATTCAATGCTAATATAATTTGTGTTTTAATATACTTACTTTACTTAGAACCGTTTTAGTTCCTCTGATATGATCTGAATATATGCAAGCATTAAAACTTATGTTAAAATAGTAACATTATTATAAATCAAGCAGGAATTTTTAATTTGTAAATAACAATTTTATTAATATACAGGAAACATTTGTAATCAGTGCAAGAAAACTATTCGTTACTGTAAAACGTGAACACGTCATAATTCTTTCTTATTTAGAATACTGACATCGGCGATAAATGTAGAAAAGAAAGAAAAAAAAAAGAAATGTATTTATTAAAGAAAAGTTATCAATTAAATACATACGAACTCTAGCAGGAGGTTGAATTCTAATTTTCACTAATATAGGTACAGTATATTCACTGCTATAACGTAGATATGATAATTTCAATAAATATAAAAATAAATTTTTGTACTTAAATATGAAATTAAAAAAAAAACATTTTTTTATCAACTATAGTAATACTGAATTGTACAAACAATCTTTAAGTTTTAATGACAATAAAGAAACTATAATGAATGTTCTGAATTTGAAAATCTGTAATTTCGTTTTAACTCATGAAAATTTTAAGCTCTAATTAATGTCTAAAGTTTGTATTGGTAATGTTGTTTTTTTAAATAGTGATGTTTGTGCAACGGGGCGTGAGTGCTAATCATAAAAAAATGCACTGATAAAAAAAAGTAATTTCATAGCTTAGTTCGATGAATGCTTGTTGATTTCAGGATGAATATTCAACAGATCTCCAATAAAGAATGTAATTAATCCGTCAAGTTTAAAATGAATAAAGTTTTATTTACGTCGTGATACGGACCGTGGTTTGGCATGGATATATTTATATATGGCTCGTAGAAAAAAACTTTTAATGAGTTTCTTTTATCCAAAAGCAGGTACTCCCAAGGGTAATGAGAAGGGACACGGCCAGGGGAATGTAAACATTCCAGGGAATCGGTGACAGGGTAAAAAGTAGGGTTGAGCGTTGCGGTTTTTTAAAGCTGACTTTCAAATGTTTTGTTGACAACGAAATTGAAAGTAGAAAGAAGAATTATTTACAACTGTTATTTGTTATTGTTATTAATAAACAAAATTTATTAAATTAAATTTACAGTAAAATTTAGTATTAGGCAAAATTCATCCATCACCATCATCACCAGTCTATTTATTAATATCCCCACTACTAGGGTTCAGGATTTCCCTATGGATGGATTCTGATCAAATCATAAGGCCATGAGCCATCACGCGGGCCCAGTTCGGATAAGTGAATGTTAAGGACTACAGATGCAGCCAGGACCAACGGCTTAACGTACCATCGAAGGCAATGATATGTCTAATATTCGTATCTATAGTCGAGTAACAGTAATCAAAGTAAATATACGTGAGTATAATGAAACTCAAGTAATAATTTGTAACCAATATAAAAGAATTTCAATGAAAGAATAACTCCTTAAAGATAGAATCCTATTATTATTAGCTATTGACTGAATGATTTTAATTCATCCAAATTTTCATGTATTGTTTAAAAATATTTTTCCAAGATATAATCTTATACTCAATTTATTACTTCTACTCGACGTTTGAGTGTTACTTATACATATATTATGAATATTGTACTTTTCTAATGAAATTATATACCTATATACACGTTACATTGATCAAGTCTTTTCTTGGAAGTCTGTTAATAATGTAAACTTAAATTCAAAGAGAACTTACATCTGACAACTCACAGTTATACGACTTAGAAGTATGAATGTTAGTTGGGAACGTATCGCTGAATTGAAGTTAGAATAATGAAACAAAGTCTCGTCTGGAACTGTACTGTACCTTTGTAACTAGTTACAGAAACAAAGTCTATTAAACAGAACCAGTTAATACTTGCAGTTTGATAAAAGAAGAATTACAACTTTATTTTGTTACATTGATATATAACATCGGCATGTTTGATATCATTTTTTAATATATAAAGCCGTATATGATGAACATTTAGAAATGTAAGGTAAGTTAAATATAATTGTAATTAATATTCTCATGCACCTTGATAGACATAGTAAAGTGTCAAGAAGAGGAATTCTAGAACACAAGTGTTAAATAGATATAATTATAAAAAAAAACATAACTATTCAACCATGAAGGTGATAGATGCTTTGCTTTTTATCTTTTATACTTTTATACTTTTATAAATCTTGAACTTGTAAGGATAGCGACAAGTGTGTTATGTTTATTATGATCTATATAATGAATATCTCCTTTGAATACATGTAAGGATTGTGACAGAATTTGCAGGAGTATGGATACGTTGAGACATAGTGCGGTAAGTATGTTTAGATTTCTAAAATGACGATTGAAACCTATCAGCTTGTTCAGTATTTGTTTACAAAGATATACAAAGAGATATGTATACACTTCATTTGCAAGATAAATAATATCTTATTACATTTGATCAATTCCGCGTTCACAATGACTCTGAATGAATGAAAAATATTGTTAATTAAAAAGAATATCTTGAATGTGATAGGTAACTTGATAAGAGGAGAGAGAGATAATATATATATTTTGCGCATCCCTACTTTAAGCCGCCCTTATACCCCGCATTACCTCAGTTAATTATGCGTCTGAATTAATTGGTGTTGAGAGAAAATCTCTTTTCAAAGATATCGTAAATCTGCCCCCGAGGAATGTGCAATCGGCAAACCAAATGACCACTTAAATTGCAAATTGGAATCTCAATTTCTTTGATACTTTATTTTTGAATGAATAATATAATGAAACAATAAGCTAAGAGTCGAAAATCTTTGATGTTAAAAACGAAGCTCAAGAAGAGAGGTTATATATAACCTATTTCCTTTATGAAAAAACATGTATTATAGTATATTTTTAATGTCATTAATTAAGTCCTTTCTGAGTTAACTTAATTGGCTTCCAACTTCCTTCGAAGAAATTAAATATTCCGGAAATGTTCTGCTGTATACAATTTAACGCTTGTCATCTGCATATTTTCCAAATCAATTATCTTACAAATTAGTTGTCCTCGTTTGTATTAGCTCAGAGTTATTATGAATAAAATTTAATACCATTGGATCTTTCTCGGAATGAATTTATTTTTTTGTTATAATGTCGTTTGAGTATAAAATGAATTTTGTATAAACTTTCGTAAAATATAGTATAAATATTTCGGAGACCAGTGAATATTGGGATTTTTAAATTCTATTGTATATTTCTTCCTTTTCTTTATCTAAATGAGTATTTAATAGAATCAGGTGATATATTTCGGGGAGGTCCATTACTATAACTGTGATAGTAAAATATCTAGCATCTTTTTTGTACCGTAGAGGGAATGTGGTTAGTACCATCTCTGCCGTTTGTAAGACAACAGGGGAGATATAGGACTTTCCCACCATTATTACTCGACCAAAGACAAGCCAAAACATGTTTTGATATGCCCACTTAAACCATTAAATGTTGCCTCAGTCCAAGAGAAAGGTTTGGAAACCGACTATGACCGTCGAGAGCCCAACCGCTTCTCTTTATTGTTAAAATATTCTATTCATTATGTCGTCGAAGATAGGTCTAGGTCAGGCTGGATAAAGGGCCTATGCAGGCCGGATGGTGGCCGGGGGCCGTATGTTGGGCAGGCCTGGTCCAGGTAAGTTATTTTTAATTTATAAAGTAAAAAGTAATTTAACTAAAAATATCCGAATTTAGAGTACTATTCATTAATAAATACTTCGTAATAAGTGTCTTCAAATATATCACTGTAGTAAGATAAAGAGCTACAAAATTTATTAGTAATAAAATTAGATATTATTACACTAGAGACGTCGATCAGTCCTCAAAAATAACAGGCACACAAAACTAGCGCCTAATAAAATAAGAAACTGGCTAGTAAAGGAAATGCAGCTCTTAAACCAAGATTAAATTTAATCTCAGTTTAAGCATACTATGCACGGTTACACTGCCTGGTCAAGGCGTCTAATACCGACTAATCTAGGCTATTATTTAACGAGTAAATCCATGTTTTAAAAACGGATTTATTCAAAGCGCCGCCTTCCATTTTTTTTCAATATCGCTTAAAGATTAACGATGTCTATCGAGATGTAAGCAGATAGGATTTCGATAAGATTGATGGAAATATCACGTTTTGTACATTTCATCGCCTTGAAAATTGTCGCGATGGCGACATTGTTGGCAATATTGCCACATAAAAAAATTGGAAAAAAAAACAAAAGATCATAACGCCGATTCTGTCTCGATTTAGTTTTTTTTTCTATGTGAAAATGTTCACTTTAAAAGTTATAAAATGAATGAACTTGCAACTTAATTTTGAATACGTTCCAAGTATTATTTTGCATTATGGTTATTCTAGCAGGATTGTAACGTTACTAAAATATTACTAACAAAGAGTGATTCAATAATATATTTCTGCATTGACTATTTTATTTAATGAGGAAAATAAAAAAAAATATTTTATACAGTCTTACATCAAAACAGATGAGTCAGTTACAAAGTCGATTTCTATCTATCAGTTAATATATGCTTAGATCTTTAAATCTACTCAACGGATTTTGATGCGGATTTTTAAATAGATAGAGTGATTCAAAAGCTCCGGCGGAAAGCTAATCTATAATATATAAATCTATATATACAAAAGCGAAAGGTCACTAACTCACTCATTACGAAATCTCACAAACTACAAGTGCTAGGAGTTTCAAATTTTGCATGTTGGTTCTTTTTAGAACGTCGATGCTCACTAATACGGGATTTTATGAAATTCAACTCCTAAGATGGTAAATTAGGGGATGAAATTTTGT